TCACCACCTTTTTCTCTGTAAATGACATGTTAAAATTTTCATCTTTAAATTAATTTAAAGCGCTTATCATATCAACAACAGCTCTCAGTCCAAGTGTTTTAGTTTCCCAGTAATGTCCGTCAAAAATGCGAGGTCAGGTGTCCCCTAGCAGGGAGACATCTTCACCTCGGGACAGCATGAACTCTTTGATTTCACCCAAAAGAGACAAAAAACAAGTAACATCTTCCTCCCTCCACAACGAACTGTTCTGTCACTTTCTCTGATCTGCCCCGTTGGTATTGTGTTATAAAGACAAAACCATTCCCTGACCGGGAGTCGAACCCGGGCCGTGGTGGTGAAAGCACCAAACCCTAGCCATTAGACCATCAGGGAGACTTTGTCCTCTTCGTCTACCTTCATATTCATATTTCCTGGGGCCTTTTTAAATCAATAGAAACAAGTTATTTAGCTTCACTTACTTTCAGAAACTACAGGCTGACATCATAAAATCTTTGCTCTCTGCACACTAGAATTTTTAGATGTCTTTTATCAAAAAGATTACAAAATAATGAGGTAATGCAGTGTGGTGGTCAGCACTGTGGCCTCACAGCAGGAGGGTTCCCAAGGTGAAGTGTGAGAGGTGTGTATGTGTAGTGGTTGGCAGGGTGTGTGTTTTCTTTTGTTTTTGTTCTGTTCCCTTTTTTTTCCCTTCTTTTTCTTTCTTGTATGTTTTTGTTGTTTTGTTTGTTTTGTTTCTTTGTTTGTTTGTGTTTTTTGTTTTTTTGTCTTGTGTGTGTCCGATTGGAGTGTTTGGGGTTCTGATTGGGTCTGAGATTTACATCTCAAAAGTTGGTTCTTAAAATATGGGGCTCATCCCCTTGGGAGGTTGTGTAAGAATGAATGAAAAAAATCATTGGTTGAATGAGCATAATGGACAGCTTTTTGAGTGGGCTCTTGTAAAGCACTTTTTTATTTTAAAACCAGTTCCACTGAGACTTGAACTCAGATTGCTGGATTCAGTGCGATGACCTTTACATCTTGGAACCCTTTAGCTTTTATTGAGTAACAACCCTCTACCAGGAGAGTTTTTATCACCATCCTGCCTCTATGCTATACTGTAGAATACGTTGATATTGGTAACAAGCTTAAAATAGCTGGAAAAAGCTCAGGTGGGAGTACATTGTATGTAGAAAATGTTTCATTTCAGGTCATTTCCACTCAAGTGGGAGAGTGTTAGACTGAAAATGTAAAGATCCTGTACTTTTGCAAACAGTAGATGGGAACATTGTACTTTGTTAGCACTCCTTGTCAAACCACTGTCTTCAACACTCCCAGAACAACAGTTTATTGTGATATAGATCTAGTATGTACGGAGAAACTTTATTTCCCGTTAGTGAAACAGGCCAGTTAGCTCAGCTGGTCAGAGCGTGGTGCTAATAACGCCAAGGTCATGGGTTCAAGCCCCATACTGGCCATATAGTTATGATTGTGTAGAACTTGTATGAAAAAGGCTTTGAAACATGTTCATAAAGTATTTGTTTATTCGCATGTCCTGGACCATGACACAGATGCCGTATTAAACTGAGTGTGAAGTGTCTTCTTCACTTCAAGTAAAAGTTAGACTTTGTGACAACTCACTGAGGTGAAAATGTCTCCTGTGGCCAGATGCTTTAATCTAAACTTCCTCCTCAGGTGGACATGTTTTACCGTAAAAAGGATGACCATTGTCAGAGTTAACCTGCTTTGGTTCATTCTCTCCATCTTTCAGGGGAAACACTGGTGTTTGGTTGGCTGAAGTGGAAAATAGCAGTTCAAAGTACAGTGTTTTTAAAATATGTGCATTTCCTGCAGTACTTTCTGACTGACTGGAGTGATGAATTGTTCCTGGTTCCTAGTATGTGTATGGGTAGACATACGTTTTTTCCTTCTAATTAGTCCCAGCCACTGCTCTTTAGTTAGAGTTTCACCAGCCAGACAATAAATCTGTCCTCTGTATTGGCTGTGTCCTGTTTAAGTACTTTTTGTGCAAAACCTTGTGGTTAGTAATTAAATAAATATAACAAAGATTCCCTTCACATTCTGACCTCCTGAGCCCAAACCAAAAGAGCCATTATAATAAGCGTGATACCAATAGACTGAGGAAGGCGTCTGTGTTTGTCATTTTTAAATCCAGCCAGAAATGTGCCAACGGGAGAGATTTCTAAACATGAAACTTTTTTGGTCTGTTTTATTTCTCAGTCAGATTTTAACAATTGTTTTCAATGTAAACCTTGAAGGATACCTCTGACGCTGAAGATCACTGCTCATATTATAAAAGCTGAATCTCTTTGATAGTTACATTATCTGAAAGAGGAGAAATGTCCCTATGTTTTAAAGTATCATTTGTATAAGAAAGTTCAATTCAATTCAGTTTTATTTATATAGCGCCACATCACAACAACAGTTATCTCACAGCGCTCTGATTGAATGCCTTCAAAGGCATTCTCACAATAAACATTTTCCATTTGATCTAGTACTTTTATAAGCAAAAGAAAAGAACAGACTCCAAAGACCAAAACTATTCCATGGTTGTTCATTCACTGTGTTCATTCACACATTGTTTGTGGAGTGGTGATTTCCCTGCCTCCATTTCCAGTATCTCCATTATGATTTTAATCCCCCTCTTTCTAACAAGCAAACAGTCTTTACACACTGGCTCTGGCAGCTTGGTGTAGGACATTTCATTTGTTCCACAGCAGGCATCCAGGTCATGCTGAAGCCTGCTCTATATGTCTTTGTACAGTTTCACTTAACATTAGCATAGTATAATATTGAGTCTTAGAGATGGGTCTCGTGAAATATCAACTGAGCTTCAATTCTTTTTGTGTAGCTGCTTTTACTATGTGAGCTTATCCTATTACAAGTATTACAAGCAGGACATATTCATACATGTGATTGAAACTGTATCCAGAAAAGTCGTTGTTGGTAGGATTCGAACATGCGCAGGGAAAGCCCAATGGATTTCTAGTCCATCGCCTTAACCACTCGGCCACAACAACCCTTATCGTTTAGCTGAGCTGGTTCATTCTCTCCAGGCAAAAAGTAACTGCGGGTTACACAATGGATGCCTGGAAGAGTTGGATGGTTTTATGCCTGTCTGTTCTCTACGTGGAGGATGTTGAGGACCTATACCTATTTGGATTCATGATAACCGGGTTCCTGCTGATTGGAGGTGGTGGATACCTAGGTTTTCAAGAAATTTGGAGGCTGATGGCAACTGGTGATGAGCTGACTAAGCTCGTTAGCCTGAAATGAGGAACACCTGTCTCCACTTAGTCCCTGAGGACAGCAAAGCAGAAAGTGTTTCAGAGCTGTGGAGGATCTACTGTTCTGTCTCTGTCTGTCTTTGGCAGTAGCTGTCAGAAGGGACCAAGTTTTAGTGATGGCGAGATGAAGCTTCATAAAGCTTTGAAGCGTTCCATCCAATTGGTTCACTCGTGTGTTGAAGCTTCATGGTGCTTCATTTGCTCTGTTCTGCCCCCTAGTGGACAATAAATGTAAACCGTGCAGCGTGGTTATAACGAGACTCTGGCTTTGGTATATGAAGCATTGAGTGAATTAATCAATGATGTTTGTGATGCTGCCATCCAGGTTGACCCCGCCCCTCCCCATTGGCTCCAGTCCCCCCCCCCACCCCATTAGGGGATCGGCGGTTAGCATAATGGACGGATGGATGTTTGTGATGCTTATACATGAATTATAAACTTTTAGAAGATGTCTGTCTTTATGATGCAATGACAGGGAAGATTGAATAGATCGCTCACAAACTCGTAATTAAGTCCCAAGTCCACAAAATGTGAGGGGGGAATTCATTGCGTTTTGCTGGCCCTTATTTTTCAAATAGACCGCCAAACCGCAAACCACTTCCAGAAGCAGTCACGTGGTACGGCCGGTTCGCGAGGCTTCAAACGTCACCGCATACGTCATCGACACAAGCTTCGATACGCGCTTCACAGAAATCATCCTGGATTTCTCGACACGCGCTTCGAAGCCTCGATACGGAGGGACACATCACTACCAAGTTTACTCCCCACCACAGGACAAAGCTCCAGGTCAACTTAATCAGGTTTTTTCTCTTAACCAGCTACTTGGGATTCCCCCATTAGGTCACATAAAAGTAGTGTTCATGCAAGAACAATAGTGATTAGGGCTCCTTACAACACACAATGTCTTTGTAAACAGATTCCCCCATAGTGTCCCTCCCTTTATCTTCCCCGCTTAAAAATGAATGGAAACTTTGTGCTGATGTGCTGAAACCAGTCCATTAAAAGCTGGAACTCAGAGCTGTGGGATCATTTTAGAATTCCTCCTTTAGCAAAAACAGACCTACTAGAAAGAAGCAAAATATTCTTAAATTCAATCAAATTATCTTGTATCTAGCAAAAAAATCTGCCAATGGGGTAAGCTTTTTTTACTTGACAAGAATTCTTAAAATAAGCACAAAATTCTTGCTTCTGACAGACTAAAATGGGCCTTAAAACTAGACAGAAAATCTTAAATATAAGTAAATTCTTCTATAAAAAGGCAATGAAAACCCATTTATTCAAGATTAATTTATTTAAAATAAGAATTTTGGTCTCTTGACTGAGTTAACTTTAAGAAATGACACCTTAATCTAGGACTAATAATAAGTATAAAAGTAGTTAAAATAAGACACAATTTCTTCAAATAGCATTATAAAAATAAGTGACTTTGTCTTAAATCAAGACACCAAAACATTCTCATTTTTAATATTTTTTATTTTTATTTGCAATGCAATAACTTGATTTAACATCCATCAAAAAACAGAATGTTATATCTGCTATTGTTACAGCATATTATAACAATAAATATAATTTGCAGCTGCAGTTATCAATTTCACCAACAAATGTGACAGTGATAAACCTTTTGTGAAACAGAACTTTGACTTTCTTTGAAAGTCTTACATGAGATAGAGTGAGGCAGTGTCAAGGAACAAACACAAGAAACAAAGAGACTCACTCAATGAAGGACTTCCACTCGCCAATGGCTTTTTTGTAGGAAGGGGTCAAATCTTGCTCATGAATAGAATCAAGGAGAATTTCTGTTTGCACTACTGACAGAAGTGTGGAAATACACTTTGGGTAAGTGAGGTGCAGGGCATAGTAATATGCCATGAGGTAGAGCAGTCCCTCATCAAACCTCTCAATGTTGAAGGTGGTCACTGGCATGTTTCCAATGGCGATCATGCAGTTTTCCTCAGAGACAAGCATGACTGGACAAGACAGTGGTCGCTGGCGCAGGAAACCATCAGGATCCTCTGAAGTCTAGATGACACAAATCAATGTATAGGGTTAGAAAAACAACACAAGTAACAGACACTTTGACCTGGAATAGGACATTGGTGAAATCATAATTGTACTTCAAAACATATAGTCACAATAATCCCTGAGAGGGAGAAGATGTTGTGCTGTCATTGTTGAGTACTGCAAATACTGAATGCACGACAGCTACTGTTGTTCAAATTAAGTTAGTATTACAACAACTACACTATGGAGAACACTTCCCCTTTAGACCTTTTGAAATAATAAAAAGTTTATCTCAAAGTAACTAAACCTGACATAAAATGTATGCGTGAATAACTAAAACATATAGTATGAAATATTGCAGTAAGTCCATAAATCTCACCGTAAGGACATGGAAAAGAGCCTCGCTGCTTAAGCCCAGCTTCTTAGGTGGCATGGTGCTGGACGGGAAGAGCAGTGGCAGGGCTCGGAACACAGCTGTGACATGCTCCACTGGTTTAATGGAAAAGGCACAAGACAAGGTGCTACCATAAATAACTTATGACACATTATTATTTAAAATAAACAAGTCAATGTATTGACTTTACCTCCATTCAAAGTTTTAGGAGGCTTCATGGTTTTTTTCATCACCCCATAAAACTGGACCTTTGAATAGAAGGTTTACCATCTGCTCTTCATCTCAGAGATGTATTGGGAGTTGGTTGGTTGGATGATTCACTGCAGCTCATCCAGCACCTGAAAAATATATTCATACAGAATACAGATACAGAAAGAAAATTCACTGAAGAAAATGTTCACTGCTAGTCCTTGTCAAACATTTGAATGACTAACATTCTTCAAAAAAGATCTATAATGTCTAAGGTACCGTATATGAACATTATGGCAATTATGTCGTGCTAAAATAAGTCCTTGGAATAACTGAAAATGTGGACTGAATAGGACCACCATTACTTACGTGGTCCAGTTCTCGGAAACATGGGTAAGCCTCTAGAATCTTTGTTGGTCTGTCTTGCTCCTTTAACAGATCAGACGTGATGAAGCGTCTTCGAGACTCAAATTCCAGGTTCAGCAAATGAGTTATCGCAGCTTTGTTTGGCTTTTTGGACTTGAACATTTCTTGGAGGGTCTTGTAATGTCTTGCTTGGGTTTTCGGGCTGTCCTTGAGGTCAACTGAACCAGCTGAAGTCATTAGAGGGAAGTTATGGTGGAAAGAGGATATGATAAGTTGTCAGTGAAACTCAGGAATTGTAAAGAAGTAATTAATGTTCATTTCACTTGATATAAAAGCAAAACATTGGACAATAGAATACATATGCCTTTGGACAGACACTGAAAGATTTGAAAGCTGCTGAATGTCCAGGGTATGTCATATGAATTAACTCAGCCAAAGTGATACAATACATACATGTTTCATCACTGCTGTCCCGGCTCTGCAGTGGGGTGCTAGCTCTAGGTGACAGATCTATCACTGAGATGCCCATGGGACTAACAGGTGACCGTTCCAGAATAATTGTGGATGCACTGGAATCTCCATCGTAGTCAGTGGTTGAAATGTCTGAAGTGACTTCCACATCTTGTCGTGGTTTCTTTGAAGGAGGAGCTTTGGCCTTCCTTGGACTTCTGACATTTGAGAGTCTCTTCATGAGCTTTTTAGCAACATGCTCCTGCGAGGCATACATAGTAAACATTAAAAAAATGACATGACAACTTGAGACTCAAGTTTTCTTAAACTGAAATTACAGCTTTCAGCAAAGTCTAGCTCCATTTGAACCTTTTGTTATGGTTTAGCACTGTATGAATAGAATTTATCGAAATCGTACAGTTAACATCATACCATCAACAAGCAATAGTGACAAAAATATACTCACCCACTCACTGTTGGATGACTTTTCTTTTATCATCGGATAGTAATCCACCAACCGTTTTGCCATGGCATTCACCTCATGTTTGGTGGGGTATCTGCAGTCCTCTGTGGCTCTTGCGATAGCAATCATATTAGTCATCGTGTTTCTTATGAGTCGGCAGAAGAGCTCCTTGGATAAGGCCACGCTGTGCTCGGTCCCCAGCCGTTTCTGCTCGAAGTAGTAGCGTCGTGCCTGTTCAAGCTCACTGTCTGTGAAGACTATGTATTCTGGGTTGGACATAGTCACAAATTTAGAAGTACTGGCCTCTTCTTTTGAAGGGTCGCTGCCACCAGTAGGGGGTGACTGCAGAATTTCAGGAGCAGCATCCACCTACAATACATTTACACAAACATTTTATTGAATAACTTTATCTTTTAGTGGATTAAAAAAAAACTTGAAAAAAAGCACATGTTGGACTGTTGAAAGGGACTCAAAGCAGAAATGTCTAAAATAATGAAATATTATGTATATGGACCTGAATTGAAGTTACATAACATTTCTGTGATATTGAAATATCTGTTATACTGTTAAACAGTTCTGTCATACGGTGAAAGACAGACCTTACCTTTTCATCTTTATTTACAACAAGCCATATAGCCCGGCGCCTCAAGAAATTTTCAGGCCCAGGAAACAGATCTTTGATGTCATCACGGGAAAGCAAAGGTAATAAGTCTTCTCCAATATTAGCAGCTGCAATATAGACAAGTTACAGTCAGTACTAAGACATTGATGTTATCATTGAATTCCTTTAGATTTGAACATAGCAACACCCTGACACCTCTTGTACAGTTTAAATTAGATACATATATATTCAAGCCATATAAATTACAGTAAGAGTAAGTATAGAACCTTACTAGATAAAATGCATTCACATTTCACATTAGTTAATATATTGTGTAATGCTTGATAAAGAATGACAATTGTTTTTTTTATTTTTAATTAAAAAGTACTAGCTTGTGTTTTTGTCACTTAGCCCATTAGCCTCTCTGACGCTAGGAATTAACAACTCGTTAAGCTAGGTTAGCTACGTAAAATATAACATCAGCACAACATAAAAGAAAGCCTTTTAACATACCTTTGAGTGTGGCAATTGAAATATCATCCAGTTTATCCATAATTCCACGCCACTGATATCCACATTTGACACTCCACAATGATGGGTTACCAGCAGTGACACACTACCAAAGCCGTTATTTTTGAAAACGCAACGAACAAACTTCTGGAGGGAAAAACCAGAGCGCAACACGGTGGATTGTACCATCTGCACAGAGGGAGCGGGGGTGGGCGCTCACCCTAAATACGTTTATTTTGCATTTATACAAATTAAATTAATCTAAATAAGTTTATATTACTTTATAACTATTAAAATAGAATCACATCAACGTCATAATTAATAAATAGAAGGTCGTTTCTGTCCTTATAAGGCACGGATTTATGTTATGTACCCTTGGTATCACATGATGTATGAGGTCATCTTGGGGTCAGAGGCAAAAGCGGTACATGGCAGCTAGCTAATGTAGGCTAAAAACAGGTGGGAAAATGGTTTGGCGCTGTGTTATTTGCTTTGTGTTTGTGGCCCTCACTCTCAAATCTTTATTGAGTCATATAAATTCTGCACATAGTCGTAGTCCAGATTTTCGCGTTGTTTGTGGAATCGATGGATGTTCCAAAGAGTATCGAATCTACAACTCACTGTGGTATCACATTCGAAGAAACCACCGTGAACATCTGGAAAGTGGCGGGAGAGAGAGGACAGCAACAGCGACCTCAAGCCGGGAAGCCTCATCAGCGGTGAACAGAAACGTGTGGGGATACAGGCCAGCAACGGCGGAAAACAGAGAGCATCAAACGGGTGAAGCAGTGATGGAAAACGGAGTACAAGCTGAAGATGTATTGATTGATGAAAACAGAGTGCAGCCCTGTCCATACTCTGTGTCTCCACAACATTTTGGAGCATTTGACAGTACGGCGTCCTTGTACTCTGGCTTTGACGATGACACCTTTATCTCCCCAAGTCATCCTGCTTTGTCCCAGACTGTTGATAGTACCTCAAATACAACTTTGAATATTGCGGATGTTCCATGTCCTGCTGCAGTTGACTCTTCTGCATCATGTCAATCAAAGGTAATCCAATTGTTTCCTTCAGTACACAATAAATGTAATAATTAATTGTCGCATACTGGGCACTACTGAAAACAACAGTATTGTATACTGGTGTCGTACGCAGTAAGCAGTATGGGGTTTTGAATACAGCCCATATTAATATTTATAGTTATATTTTTTGACACCTCTGAGCTAAGCCCTATCATCATTCTTTTTGTTTATGTCTCAGCATACCAACACAAATCTCAACTTGATTGTTAGCATATCTGTGTTTGTGGCAACATTGTTTTTACACACTGAATTTTCTATTTTTTAAAGGATGACGCCGGGCGTGACACTTTGACCAGCCAAGCTATTGCTATGATGTTGACTGCAAGAGAAAAACACCATCTTTCACAGGTCTGTTTATATACAACATTATTACAATTATTTAATCTGTGGCTTTGTTGATTATCTGCATGACACGTCCAGTCTTGGAAATTAGATTAAAGGTGGTAGCCTTGACTGCTCTTGCTGTGAACTGTAGGCATAGGCCTACATCTCGATCTAAATCTTGCATATTTGTGCTGGTGCCTGCAGTTTAACACATTGTGTGTGTGTATCAATTAGTTGAAAAAGCATTGTTGTGTTGAAGTTACTTTCTATAAATGGGTTGTATGGTCATTTTCCTTATAGAAAGCATTACACAGTAATTTTAAAACTGGACTGTTTGAATTTGATTTGCTCTCCTTTCTTGTTTTTCAGCGAGGTGTGAATGACGTTTTGGCAGGAATGCAGCAATACCAAGCTCTGTTGGTGACTAATCTAAGGAGCCAGCTACAAACTGTATTCCAGCAACATCAAGGAAGTGAACTTGAAAAGGAAGCGATGGCGGTATTTGACCAGATTGAGGATCCATTTGCTTCTGTTGCGACAACATACAGGCAGGACAATGTGATTAAGGAAAATTTCAATTTTGTGGAGTCAGAGGAGGTTTCTGTGGGGTATACTGCCTGCTTGAAGAAAAAAGGGGCAACAAGGGTCCTCTCTACAATACCCAAATGTTTTGATTATATACCTCTGATCAAAAGTTTAGAACAGTTATTGTCCCATCCAAAGGTTTTGGAAATGATAGATCAGCCGCAGAAATACAGAAATGGGTATTTGTATGACATCATAGATGGAGAGCTCATGAAATCACACCCTCTTTTTTCAGCCCGGCCTTCTGCTTTACAGATAATCATTTACTCTGATGAAATTGAAATTTGCAACCCACTTGGATCTCATGCCTCCAAGAATAAGTTGCTAATGTTTTATTATACCCTGGGAAACATTAATCCAAAATATAGATCAAAACTAGCTGCAATCCGTCTACTTGCTATTGCAAAGAAAAGCGAGCTGTCTGAATGTGGAGTTGATGGAATTTTGGGCAGGTTGTATGAGGACTTGATAATGTTATATGGTGGTGTTAATATTCAAACTGGGAATGGTGAACGTGAAATATTTGGAGCATTGGTTTCGATATGTGGAGACACTTTAGCACAACATGAGCTTTGTGGATTTAAAGAGGGTGTTGGTTTTGCCTATAGTAAGTGCCGGCAGTGTGAATGTTCGTTTGAGGACATGCAAATGTATTTTGACGAGGACAACTTTGAGCTCAGGACACTAGAAAGACATGTCCGGCAGTGTGGTGACATTGAGAAGGCAAATACTGAGTATCTTAGAAACAGTTTAAAAACTACATTTGGCATCAACAGAAGGAGCAAGCTGGTAGAATTCCCGGCCTTTAACTTGATCCAACAAACACCCCAGGATATGATGCATGTAATTCTTGAAGGCATTGCTCCATTAGAAATAAAGTGTGTGATAAAACACTTAGTTCTTTTAGGTCAACTAGACTTGGATGTCCTCAATACTGCATTAGCTGGATTTCCCTACTCTCCACTTGATGTCAGAGACAAACCAAACCCTATAGCTTACAGCACATTAGCTTCAAGTGATAATAAGTTGAAGCAGTCCTCAGGCCAAATGATCGTTCTACTAAAAATATTGCCATTCCTTATTGATTCAGTTAAAGATAATGAATACTACAAAATAATTCTTGAACTCATAGAAATTTTTAAAATTTTGTTTGCTCCTGTCATTGGTCTACAGACACTTAGCAAGTTGAAAACACAAATTGAACAGCATTTAAAACATATGAAAAATCTTTTCCCTGATAACAACATTACCCCAAAACAGCATTATTTGATTCATGCTCCATCGCAAATAAAGTTGCTGGGGCCAATGGTCCGTCACATGTGCATGAGATTCGAATCAAAACATTGTTTTTTTAAACAGTGGGCCTCAAAAATAAATTTTAGAAATGTTTGCAAGTCTTTAATAAGGCATAATCAAATGTATGAATGTTGTCAAAATGTAAGTCATTCTAAACACCCAATTTGTTTTAATGAGTGTGCATTGGGACCAACATCCGAAATACGCAACATGTCATATTTAAAAGAAAAAATGAGGGCTTTCCTTGGAAATGATGACATAAACAATGCAGTGTCTGTTAAATGGATTAATCTAAATGGTAATAAATACATACAGGAGAAGACATTACTTCTGACTTCTGTTAATTCCAATGATTTGCCTGAATTTGGACTTGTGAGCAATATCTATGTAATTAACTCATCATTATATTGTTTTGAGTTCCAGCAGCATAATACTGTTTGTTATGATAGAAATTACATGGCATATACAATAGAGATTCCAAACATGGCACAAAGAACTGAACTAATAAGTGCTGATAGTCTGGTAGATTTCACTCCATATTACAGTTATACTCACAAGGATGTGACATATGTTCCTACGAAATATTATCTTGTAGATGTGCTTGGGCTACACAGAGCCTTGTCTGATGAACTGTAAAATGCACACTGTTTAATGTGTTGTTGTTTTTTTTGTTTCATGATTGTTTCTTCTTTTCATGTATCAAAATAACTTTAATCTGAATGATAAAACAGTTGTTGTATAGGCCAGCCTGATGGCCTGATGTCATCTTAATATGTTAAATATGAAGTTGCTGGTTCTGCCAGGTTCAGATGGCATGGGAACACATATGAAAATAAACAACCTTTAATTTTTCTTGTTTCTTGGCATTCTTAAATTAAGAAGTTGTACAAGTGGTCTTACTCTTAAAATGAGGCAAATAATCTTGTTGGTCCACTGAGTTTTATTGTAAAA